CGTCAGTCTCTTTCCCTCTTTGCCCCCCAACCCAGCACGCTCTGGCTCTTTTTACCTCCCCGTTCTCTCTTCTCTCCCCCACTCCCCTTCCTTGCCGGTTCACCTGGAGTTACTCCAAGCGGGCGTGTTGGGCTCCAGTTTGGTGTAGCGGTTAAGTGTGCGGACTCTAATCTGGGAGAGCCGGTTTTGATTCCCCCACTCCTTCTCCACTTGCACCTGCTGGTGTGACCTTGGGTCAGTCACAAGCTCTGGCACAGCTGTCCTTGGAAAAGAGCCGTTTGTGTCAGAGCTCTCTCAGCCCCACCCACCTCACAGGGTGTCTGTTGTGGGGAGGGGAAGGGAGAGGAGTTTGTAAGCCCCTCTGAGACTCTTTCGGGAAGTGAAGGGCCATGGGGTATAAGTCCCATCTCTTCTTCTTCTTTTACCTCACAGGGTGTCTGTTGTGGGGAGGGGAAGGGAGAGGAGTTTGTAAGCCGCTCTGAGACTCCAAGTGAAGGGCGGGGTATAAATCCAATCTCTTCTTCTTCTTCTTTTACCTCACAGGGTGTCTGTTGTGGGGAGGGGAAGGGAAAGGAGTTTGGAAGCCGCTCTGAGACTCCAAGTGAAGGGCCATGGGGTATAAATCCAATCTCTTCTTCTTCTCCCCACCACCACCGCTCTAGGCAGGCAGGCAGGCAGGCAGGCCGACCTTCCCGCTCCTCCCTCACTCGCTTGCCAGGAGCAGCTCTGGGTGACCTGTCTTTTAAATTTTTATTTTTTATTTTCTAAAAACTACAAGAAAATAGGGAAGAGGGAACTATAAACTACGGGAGAAAGTAAAGATAAACCACTAAAAACCCAAGAGGTGGGGGTCATATGCTTACAATAAAGTAGCTTTGAATAAGAAAAGAGTACTTTGTTACATTGTAGGTGATCATTAAAATCACTTTGATAATTCAAGTCCAGATATTCTGTTTCTTCTTTCCCTCAATCGATACCCTTGTTTGGGGGTGGCCACCCCATGTTCCGAATCTGAGTCTTCTCCAGTAAGTGCTTCATCATCACTCCCCTTGTTGCTCTTCTCATCCTCTTCTCCTGTTGGATTCAGATGTTGCTGCAGAAACTCTCTTGCTTTCATAATAGAGTCAATTTCCCCCCACTTATCTTTGAATTTGAAGAGTGTGCCTTCAGGTACAATTCATTTGTAGGATATGTTATTCTTTTGTAGAAACAAAGCCAAGTCTCTGTATTTTTTCCTTTCCCCCCTTATTTCAAAAGGAATGTCTTTCAAAACTCTTATCTCCTTGCCATCAATTTTAAGGGTAGTTCCATTTGTTGCTTTTAATATCTGATCCCTCACTTATCTTCTGGAGAATCTTACCACCACCTCACCAGGAAGATTATTTTTCTTTATGTATTCTGAATATGACCTATAGATCACATCCATTTTGCCTTGAAGAAAGTCCCCTTTAAAATCTGCAACTGGTCCCAAAGGATCACTCAAAGTCTGTTTAAGATTCTCCCCTTTAGTCTCAGGAACTCCTTGAAATCTCTGTGTATAGCTTGCCTTTTCCATTTGTAGTTGTAACAGCTGGGCTTCATCAGAGTTTCTCTTCTTTTCCATCTCCTGCACTTGCTTTTTAAGCTTCTTAAAAGATTCTCAGCTGATAAAATGTTAACTAAAAAAAAAGATTCTCAGCTGTTGCTGTGCAGCGAAATTTTGATTGTTTTCATTTGCTCCAGCAGGGGTCACACTGCTTCTGTTAGCATCTTAGAGAAGTCTGTGGTGGTTTCCAGTCACGTGACCACACTCGCTGAGCTAGCACTTCCTGAAGGAAGCTTAGGTTTAGTTTGCTTATCTTTCTCCGTCGTCTTCAGCAACATCTTTGAAGCTGTTTACCTTTAACAAAGTTTGCAAAAAGTCTCTAAAGTCTGCAGATCATCTGTAATTTTCATGTAAGTTCCTTACTATCGTCCCTCTTTGCCTTCTGTCCTCCTTTAAAAAACATGCTTTAATTCCATTTTTATTTCCGTAAGGGGGTACCCCCCCGCTTAGTAGGGGGAACTTTCAGCCATTTCTCTGTTTCTCGTTTTAACCAAACTCACTTTCAATGTAGATCATGTAGATCTCGCCTTCAAACGTTTAAAACGCTTGACCTCCACTCACTTGTCCCAGTGTGCGTCTCTGAGTCCAGTACTGGAACACAGCAGGGAGACCATTGGGGGCATCAGAACGCCTCAATCCACCGGCAGCGTGTCAGGAGAGAGGCGATCCTCAGCGCCCCATGGCTAGGAGCAACCTTTGCAAAGGTTGCGTACAATCGCACCCCCTCTCATCCGCTGGCTCACGGATTGCGTCCTTGGGATCTCCCGAGAGACGTGTCCACCATTAGATCGCCAAAACTGGAAGTCCTCTCTGGGTGACCTGTCTGACCTCCCCTCACTCACCAGGCAGCCCACTGAGCTCCCTCCCTACTGCTCTTGGCAGCTTGCCCGGAGTTGCTCTGGGCTGGCCAGCTGAGGTCCCCCTCCCCTTGCCGGCTTGACTGGAGCTGCTCCTGGTAGCTCCCTCACCGGCTTGCCTGTCAAGCTTCCTTCCCCCTCTCGTGGCTCTCAGTGGCTCATCCAAAGCTGCTCCAGGAAGCCCACTGAGGCCTCCCCCGCCACCCCCCCTCCCCGGCTTTCAGTGGAGGAGCCTGGCAGTGGCTCCACTGCAGCAGTCTCCACCACTGGGACTTTCAAAGGTACGTGCCTTGTCTCTGCATGCACATTCAACACTTTTTATTTTGGGGGGATTAAAACTCCCCAGTGTATTTTTTTTAACTTTTCAAATTTTTCTGCAAATGTAGGGGGTCACCTAAGTTTAGGTATCCGCCGATAGGGGGTGCAGTTGAGAATTAAATATGTAGATAATACTGTGTATTATACAGAACACTTTGTTTTTAAACGTATTTTGCAATATGTGTAACTAGCCAATTTGGTTGCCTTTAGTTTCCTTAGGTACTGCTCAGAAAATGTGGGACTACAGGAAAAATCCCCTGATCCTCAAGGTATGGTGTGGGGTAGGAGGCATTTTTTTAAAAAAATTGAAAATGATGAGATTCATTGGATTTAACTTTGAGTAAAATAGATGCCCCTCAACCTATTGATTTGGAGTTGTCCTAGCTAAAGCACTAGGACTTGCTTCTAAGAAAGATAGATAGGGCCATTGGTGCAGCTGAACCAGTTTGCTTCTGATATGTAATCTGTACTGTACCTAAAGGTGGGGGGTATCAGAGAAAGAAAGCAACTTTAATTTTAAATGCATTCTCACCCCCCCCCCCCCCCCGCCGCCTGGCTTGGAGAAGCCATTTGTCTCTTTAAATCCCTTCTCCAAGCAAGCTATCGTGGGGGACTTGGAGGACACTGGGCCGTACGGGTAGGGCGGGATATAAATCTCAAAATAAATAAATAAATAAATAAATTTAAAGTTAAAGCTGCTTTCTCTCCACCTCTCTCCCTTCCCCTTCTATTTGCTTTCTTTCCACCTTTTTCTTTCTCTTTCTCCTCTCTCTCCCCACCTTTCTTTCCCTCATCCTCCCTCCCTCGTCTATTTGCTTTCCCTTCCTCCCTTCCATTTGCTTTGTTTCTCTCTCCCCCCTTCTCCCTCCCTCCCTCGTCTATTTGCTTTTCCCCCAACTTTCTCTTTTTCTCTCTTTCTACCTACTTTCCTTCCTTCCTTTCGCTCTCTTCCTTCCTTCCCCCTCCCTCCCATCTATTTGCTTTGTTTCTCTTTCTTTCCACCTCTGTCTCTTTCTTTCTCTTTGAGACAAATAAATATCATTAGCAAACAAATAAACATTATTGGACAAATAAATATCATTATCAATATCTGGTTTTACCCCTTTTGTTTTTATTTTTGGCAGCCTCAATGTTAATAAAAAGCAAATTTGCATATTTTTTAATAAAAACGTTTGTAATATTTGTTCATGTTGTGCGGCTCTCAAACATCTTATGTTTATTCTATGTGGCTCTTATGTTAAGAAAGTTTGGCCACCCCTGTCCTATGTCTTGTACTATTTGTTTAACATTTTATCCTTCTCTTTCATTAAGAAGTGTTTGAAGTGGCTAATATAAACAAGTTTGTTACTGAAGAAAGAATTGTTCTTCCAAGAAAGAAAACCTGGTGAGTTCTTCCAACTAGACATGTTTTAATAATACGCTTAGTAATGCATTGGGAGGCTTAATAAGTAATACAGTTTCTCCTAAATTTAGGGACAAATTGGCAGTCCTCCAAGCACTTGCATCAACAGTACACAGGGTAAGTGCTGTTCAAGGTTATTTTCGTCTCAGTGCTGCATCTGGGTAACAAATTTGCTGGCACCACCCCAGCATTAGGGACAGCGGAATGGAAGGGTTCTTTACACCTTGTTTCTCCCCAGCATATAGTTGTGACTCGGCCCCTGGTGGGAAGGAGGAGGAAGTGAGCCTGTCCGGAAGGAAAACACATCTACCCTTAGGACTGGCTGGGTGTTGATGTTTCTGAGCTAGGCTTTTGCCCCTTGTACTTTTGGTAGCAATGCTGGAGGAGCATGAAACTCCTGGCAGTCTTTCTTTTTTGTTGCTTTTGGATTGCAAGATGGTGAGTGGTGGTGTGACAGTGGGCAGAAGGGAGGTTTGTGTAGTTTTTGGGAAGAGGGAGGTTGTCTGGGCTCCGAAGAGTGGTCTCTTATTCTGGTGTGCACATCAGAGCCACAGGCGTTCACATAGCACACAGGATTAGAGGAATATCTCCATCCCCTCTTGAGAGTGGTGAGGCTCTCAGAGTGGTGAGGCTCTCAGAGTGGTGAGGCTCTCAGAGTGGTGAGGCTCTCAGCATCTCCATTTCAGCTTTGGTAGCGTGCATTGCCAGGTCTGTAAGAAAGAACATGTCACAGTTGTCTTGCTTGAACAAACTCTGCCTGGATGAGTCTCTGGTGTTACTGTGAGTTAGCCCTAGATGGGTGTAAAAGATGGAGTGGGTTGGCTGTTTACCTTCATTAACGTCTCTCGGTCCCCAGAGTACTGGTGCAGGCAGAAGCCAGTTTTTATTGTGTGTGCCTTGCGTTGGGTACCAGGGACAGGTTAGGGGTTGGATCTATACTAAACAGGCAGTTTCCCTCTTCCCACTGGCTGCAGGTCCCCTCGTGTTGTTCCCCAGGGTCACCTGTCGCCCCAGAGAAGGATTTTGGTGCAATGTGTGGCTGCAACTGTGGCGGGAGGCCAAGTGGGTCAGTAGGAATGTCATAGCCCCTGTTCTAGTCTGGGCCCCGCTGGGGTAGTCCTTGCACTTCTGGTTGTGGGCCAGGGTCTCCCTTGGATATCTGTGTCCTGTCCGGTCACAGAGGACCTGTGAGGGTTCCAGAGGGAGCCACATTAGGGCATTTCGGCAGAAGTGTTCGTTCTCTCCCTTGGCCCTTTGTGCTCAGCGCCCCCTAAGTGCCCATAGCTCATGCTACGCACACCCCAGCATGTGATCTCTGTGTGCCTGACTTGGGGGCGATATGGTGCAGAGGGGACTGTGATTGGTGCTTGGGAGGGGCATGATGACTCTCTGCTGCGGGGAACTGTGATTGGCTGCCCACTTGGTTGACTGACTCAGTTCTGGTGAGGCTATAGGGCAGGAGGGGTTGGGTCCCCCAGATCCTAGTCCAGGGCGACTGACTACACCACACTGGTTCTCTGACTTTCCCTCCGATGGACACCCCTGCACCTGATGAAGGTTGTCCAGATCAGTCTTAAACGATGGGTTTGCAAGTTCAGTGTGTTGTGGAGAACAGTGATATGGATATAAATTAAGTAGCATTTCTTGAAAGCTGTCTGTTTTGGAATAGAGTGCACATCCATGTAATAATGTGTACTCCACACACAGCTATTCTTTTTCCAGCTGTACTGTATAGCAGGTTGTGCACGTAGTCCTGTCTGTAGTCACCATGAACAACATTGCCTCCTCCTTCCTTGCATGATTCTCTGATTTTTCACAAAAACTTCACTTTCTTCTCACGACACAAAAGAGGAAGGCTCTTTCTGTGGCTGACGTGTTCTAGCTGGTTATGAGACTGTGATTAAAGATCAGTGATGTTTTAGTGTTTGAAATAAAACAAGAGTCCAGTGGCACCTTAGACATTAACCACGTTTTATTCCACATCTGCCCTTTCTCAGTGTGCTAGTCTTGCTGGTATCTTATAGACATAATTTGTGTCACCTTTTAAAAGTTTAGACTTGTTCCTAAGTGTACTGTCTTTAAAAATAGTCCCTTGCAGGGCTTTTTTTGTAGAAGAAGCCCAGCAGGGACTCATTAGCATAATAGGCCACACCCAACAGCAGAAACTCATTAGCCTATTAGGCCACACCCCCATGCCTTCCCTTGGCTTGCCTGGGCAGCTGCGGGGAGCCTGGGCAAGCTGGCCCTTGGACAGGCCGGGGAAGGCATGGGGAGGCATCCAGGGGGCCCCCGGCCCACCCGCCTCGGAGTCGATGGGGGTGTGTGTTTGCTCTCCAGGCCTCCCCTCTGTAGCCACGCATGCAGAGGTTTTAGCTGTAGTGGGCATGGCCAACTCTGAAGCCAGCGGGAACTCCGTTCCTGTGCGTTCCTGCCCCAAAATAGCCCTGGTCCCTTCCATAAACAAGATAGCTTTCTCATATTTCTTCGAGTTTAAAAAAGAGAAAGCTTTTAATCTGAAATGCAAGAGGATGAGTCTGCAGTGTGATCATCCGTGTAGAACTTAACATGTTTAAACTCTTTCCTCCTCTTACTTCTTAGGATCCCACAGCTTCACAGTCAGTGTTTCAAGATGACCCTTATCTTATTCCTCGAACCAGTACCGAGTTTGTAAGTAACTCTGTAGTGTGGGTTTTGCCAGGCACTTAAGAACATTTAGCCCTTTGAGCTGCAGGGCCCTGTTCAAGGACATCCCCTTTGTTTTTCAGTCTGACGTTTATCCAACAACTGCAGCCAAGGTGGATTATTAAAAGCCAGCTGCATGTTGAATTTGTATGTCAGTTAAATTCTGCTAAGAGCCACCTCATGTACACATTACTGTTTTCCTCGTATGTAACAAAACACATGCGGATTTTCATGTATGAATTGCAGCATAAGTTGTTTTTCTACCCCAGTTTTGTGCCATGCTTTCAATGGCACAGTAAAAAAAACATGCAGTGTATTTTGGTATTACTCAGACATCTGTGAAATACTCACATCTGCTGCTTTTATGTTAAAGTTTTCTGTAAACTCCCTGTATATTCATGCAAGATCCCCACAGATCCTCAGTTCCTTCTGTGTTCCACACACCATTGAAGTCTCATCTTAGTGGCAGCATCTGTTTCAAGAAATGCTTTGCAAAATCTGAGTTGGATCACTCAGAGTTCTATAGAAATTTTAGTGGAAATCATTGTTAAATAATAGAAATCATGAAGAATATTTATGCACTAAGTGCAAGCTGTAAAATGTAACTTTGATTTATATTTATTAGAATTATGATAAAGAAGGAAGATGTGTTTATTCTCTCAGTATTCCTAAGTGTAGGATCATATTATTATGTTAACTGTTTTTGGTAAAGGAATTAATACAAATATTCTTTTTGTAGCGTTTGTTTTTCATGTCAAAAGAGTCTGGGGAAAATGCCGCCAAATACATAGTTAACAAGCATCCTATATTTTTTGAGAAGGACATCGCTGAACCTCATATACCGGTAAACTTTTGTTTTATTCTTCTGTTTATGTATTATTTTATTTGAAACATTTATCAGCCGCCTTTTACGTCATAGGAACTCAAGGTGGTTTACAGTGTAAATAATAAAAAATATAGTAAAATACATAGAAACTTCCACTAAACCCCTAAACCCCCCCCCCCCCCAATTTAAAACTGCTAGTAGGGAGAAGAACTAATCAAATGCCATATCGTCTTCAGCTGCCTTCAGCTAACATCTGTTGTATTTTTCTGGTGGGTCTGAATACTGTTTGTAGGTTGTGTTTTTTCATAAGTAGATATAAATTACCTGCCTACCATTTTTCTTCTCGCCTTGACACAGAGAGTACCCCATCTTTCTGTGTTTATAGCTCTGAGGATGCCAGTCACAGCTTCTGGCGAAACGTCAGGGTCTACAATGCCAAGACCACGGCCACACAACCCGGGAAATCTACAGCAACTAATAAAGTTCTATAAATCCTAGCTTACATTAAATGCTAATGTAAGCAAATAGCACTAATATAAAGAGAAGTGGAGGGGAGTAAACGTAGGAGCCTGCCTGGCAAGTGGAGTCCCGGAGGGTTCAGTGGAGGGGGGGGGGGAACAGCAGCAGTGGAAGAAGCGAGGTGGGAGCAGAGCACCGTTTTCATCCGTGCGCGTGCTGTAGACGGCAGGGCCAAGGCTGACTCCTACCCCCATTCCTGCTAAGCACTCCCACACAGAAGAGAAGAAGAGAAGAGATTGAGAGAAGAAGAGATTGGATTTATACCCTGCCCTTCACTTGGAGTCTCAGAGTGGCTTACAAACTCCTTTCCCTTCCCCTCCCCACAACAGACACCCTGTGAGGCAGGTGGGGCCGAGAGAGCTCTGACACAAACTGCTCTTTTTCAAGGACAGCTCTTGTCAGAACGACGGCTTGCCCAAGGTCACATCAGCAGGTGCAAGTGGAGGAGTGGGGAATCGAACCCGGTTCTCCCAGATTAGAGTCCGTGCACTTAACCAGCACACCAAACACAGGCTGGAGCCCGTTGCTGGAGCCCAGTATCAAGATGGGGCTCCTCCGTGGCTGGAACGACGTGCCGGGGTTCCCAGGGCTACCTTTATGACCAAGAAGTCTTAGAGAGAGCAGGGGAAATGGGATGCTCTTCAAAATGAATTGGATGGGAGCCATACGTTTCAGACTTCATTGATAGATATGGGTGAATAGTGGTTGAGTGGGAAAATACCTCCTGAAAAGGGAGAAATTGGGGGTGCCTAAGTCCTCTTTCATAGGGTTTACAGCCCAGTAGAATAAATAAGTTATATTGTTGCTGTTTCGTGAGCTCAGATCGGGGGGGGGGGGGTTGAGGAGCAAAACGGAAAGCAAATATCAGCTTGAGAGATGGACGTGTGTGTCACCTCTAAATCTTTGGCAGAGCCTGTTGTGTGTTTATGCAATGCAAGTTGCGGTTAACTGAGACACTGCTTTGGCCTTGGAACAACGATGGTGCGAGAATAGATGTGGGTGGATGTGTCCCTTCCCAAGTACATTGTCAGTTACTTTCCTTCCTCCCTTTGAAGTAAAGGATATGGTTTGCTGCACTGTTTGTTGGCCTGCCTTAGAGAACCTGACAATGAGTATCTTCTGTTCCTCTTACTTCTAGTGTCTAATGCCAGAGAATTTGGAATTGCAACTTGAAGAAGTGACGGAGGCTGCCCTTAAAGAACGGATCCAGCTCAGAAAAGTGAAAGCCGCTGTAGACATGTATGATCAGCTCCAACAAGCAGGTATTCACCTGACTGTGCTGCCTCTCTCTGAGACTCTCAGGCTGAATGTGTTGAGTGGCAGAACTGCTTTTTAGGAACGATTCTTTAAGAATACGGAGTCATGTTAAAATTGAATTCATATCTTACATGACCAGCAGCCTGCTTCATTAAGCACATGGGAGGCCAACTCTCTTGTGGTGTGGCTGAATGGTGGACCCAACAAGCTGTGGCAAACCAGGCCCTGTATCCCACCTCTCCAAAGCGCAGAGCGTGTGCATCTGTGTGCGCGCGTGCGTGGGGTGGTGGTGGTAATAATGTGGGCTATAGGGTATAATGTGTGTTTTGCTATGGGGTGTGGTTTCTTTGATCTTTGTTGAAAGAAATGATAAACATAATTTTGTCTTTTGCTCCATTCGCATATCACTTGGTGTGATTCAGGTACCTAGATTTGAGTCCAGTCGTACCATAAAGGCCAACAAGATTTCCAGGGTACGAGTCTCAAGAATCAAAGCTCCGTTTGCCAGATACAAAGCTCCCTGCTTGACGAAGAAAGCTTTGAGTCTCATAAGAACATAAGAACATAAGAGACGCCAATGTTGGATCAGGCCAAAGGCCCATCCAGTCCAACACTCCATGTCACACAGTGGCCAGAAATACCAGGTGCCATCAGGAGGTCCACCAGTGGGGCCAGGACATTAGAAGCCCTCCCACTGTTCACACCCCCTAGCACCAAGAAGACAGAGCATCCCTTGCCCCAGAGCCCCTAGCTATACCTTGTGGCTAATAGCCACTGATGGACCTCTGCTCCATATGCTTATCTAATTCCCTTTTGAAGCCGTCCATGCTTGTAGCACCCGCCACTTCCTGTGGCAGTGAATTCCATGTGTTAATCACTCTTTGGGTGAAGAAGTACTTCCTTTTATCCGTTCTAACCCGACCGCTCTGCAGTTTCATGGAGTGCCCTCGAGTTCTTGTATTGTGAGAAAGGGAGAAAAGTACCTCTTTCTCCACCTGCTCTTTCCCATGCATAATCTTATAAACCTCGATCATGTCACCCCTCAGTCGTCTTTTCTCCAAGCTAAAGAGCCCTAAGCGCTTTAACCTTTCCTCATAGGGAAAGTGTTCCAACCCTTTTATCATTCGAGTTGCTCTTTTCTGCACTTTTTCCAAAGCTATAATATCCTTTTTAAGGTGTGGTGCCCAGAACTGCACACAGTATTCCAAATGAGGTCTCACCAGTATTCCAAATGAGGTCGCACCAGTATTCCAAATGAGGTCTCGAAAGCTTATACCCTGGAAATACTTTTGGTCTTTAAGGGGCTCCTGGACTTCCTCCTCCCTTTTATCCTTTCACTCTTGGGGTGGTGGAAGGTATCCTAAAGTGGTGGAAGGTATATCCTAAAGTGCCCCGTGCTCCGTGTGCAGGGCTGTGCAAATCAGCTTTGCATTATTTCCACATCCAGCTGGTGGGCTGTCCCTAGTCCTTGCCAGCCTTGCTCCTCATTGGACAAACGTCCTCAGCTCTTCTTCAGAAGCGAAAGCAGCCTAGAGACCAAGGGCGAGACCAAGAAAGTGTTCAGGCTGATGAAGGAGTGAAGGTCAGCAAGACGCCCAAACGTTCCAGAAAGACTGTGGGTGTGGTGGCTGCCCCCACCCCAGCACCTCTCCAGCGCATTCCACCAGGACATCTCGCCAGAGCCCCCGGCCACCAGACTGACTTAACCTGTGGCTGAAGCACTAGTAAATGGACCACCTGTTGAAGAACAACCTCTCCCCAGCTCCCTTCCTAGGCAAAAAGCTGTTCTGGGATGCTGCCCTGGATGAGGTGTTGGGTCGAAACAAAGGAGAAAGAGGGGGCTATGCCCTCAGCCTCTAATAGGGAGGAAAGGAAATCCACCAAGCTTTCCCAGACCACCTCCTGCTGTGCAACTTCAGAAGTTCCAGGTACTTCAAGCCCTCCTGGAACTAGTGCAGATTTCTCCCCAAGCCAACAGAGGCATGCCAGTCCAGCCAGTCTTACGGGGCAGGGAAGGGACAGTTCCATCAATGATACCGCATAGGTGGGGGTCTCCAAGCCTTTGCTCCCGCCTGTAGATGCTCCACTCAGGACAGGGGGTTGCATGATGCCGTCAGCCCTCTCTACACAATCGAATTCATACATCTCCCAGGGGACAGTATCCAGATCTAGGAACAACCAAAAACAGGCACTCATCATGCAAGCCATAAGGTAATAGAGACAGTTTCAGAGACTCAGATTTTCTGGAACTTTGTCTTGCATGTCGTGCCCAAGAGAACCATTCTTGATCTAAAACGACTGAACAGGAGGGTCTGTCTGTAAAAGGCACTTTCTCATGGAGACCCTCCACTCTTATTGTGGAGGCCCTGAAACCAGGGAACTTCCTAGTGTCAGTAGACCTTAGCGATGCCCAGCCCCTGTCCGGGGAGTTCCTCCACTTGGCGTATTGCGGCCAGCATTTCCAGTCCCGGGCACTTCCATTCGGCCTGTCATCCTCACCGTGGGTCTTCTGCAAGGTGCCAGGGCGTGGATTCCAGCCAATGGGCACTGAGCCCTTGAGCGTTCTAGGCAAGGACCAGGCATCTGGGCGTCCCACATGGGGTTAAATGTAAAAAAAAAAATGCTTTGGAAGCACGGGAGCTGTATGCAGTGTCCCTGATCCTCCACGCTCCCTGGTGAAGGGGGGAAATGCTGTTCAAACAAATTATGAAGATGGTCTGACTCGAACTGTAACTAGAGAAAGAAATTTTACTTACGAAAACCGGAGCACATCTTACATGAAACAGTCATATAACAGCAGAAAAGAAAAATCAGGTGTAGAAAAAGCTTTTTGCTATTTTTCTTTCTTGATCCCAACGTAGCTACATTTAACTTGTGAACAGATGAACAAATTACAAAGATGATCTGACTCCAATGGTAACAAGAGAGAGAAATTTTGCTTACAAAAATAGGAGCACATCTTACATGATACATTCATGTAGGTACATTTAACTTATTCTGAACAGTAGAAAAGAGCAAGAGTCCCTCAAGTCCAGGGGTGGCCAAACGGCTGCTCAGAAGCCACAGGTGGTTTTTTCACACAGTCTCATTGAATGCTAATAAAAATCGAATTTGCATATATTTTCCAATAAAAACGTGTGTGTGATATTTGTTCATGCCTTGCAGCTCTCAAACATCTCACGTTTATTCTGTGCGGCTGTTACGTTAAGCGAGTTTGGCCACTCCTGGACTAGTAGCCCCTTAAAGACTAACAAGACGAGTTTTTGTGAGTCACCGCTCACTTCTGGTTGTGAACAGAGTAACTTCAGAAAGGTTAACTTGCTACAGCTCCAAGCCCCGCTAATAGAGAGAGAGAAGAGGGGTCCTCTATAAGATGAAACGCAGAAGGCAATCAGTGGCTGAAAAGGCTCAGCGTTGGATGACAGGGAGGGGCCAACTGTCAAGTGTACCCCAAGCAGAGAATTCTGGTAGCCCTTTCCCTCCCAGATCCTCTCGCACGCAGAGTTACAGTATCCAAGACCCCAGTCCTAGACATCTTGGCATCTCCGACCAATCACAAGGTTCCCAGGTTCCTGTCCAGGTTCAGGATAGAAGGAGTAGAGGATCAGGGTGCATTCACAGCCGGGTGGCCTCAGAACTGAACTAGGTTCCTAGGGAGGGAACAGAAGTACTCTTCATCGCCTCATTCTGGCCAAGATGTTCTTGGAAGTGGTCGTGATGGCCGTCAGACCTCCCTGGATCATCATACCTCTGGCCCGTGACATTCTCGTGCAGGGTCTTGTCCGTGTGCCTTAACTGTTTTAACTTGTGGTATTGTATTACATTTGTGTCTTGTAAGCCGCCCTGAGCCCGCGTGCGGGGAGGGCGGGGTACAAATGAACTAAAATAAAATAAATAAATAAATAAATATCAAGACCTCTGAACAGGGTTCCTAGGGAGGGAACAGAACTCTTCATCGCCTCATTCTGGCCAGGATGTTCTTGGAAGTGGTCGCGATGGCCGTCAGACCTCCCTGGACCATCATACCTCTGGCCCGTGACATTCTCGTGCAGGGTCTTGTCCGACATCCAGATCCAACCTGGCTCCAGTTCTCCACGTGGAGGTTGAAGGATGGGCCCCGGAAAGGCACGGCTACTTTCCCCAGGTCGTAGCCATTGTGCTTGCCTCCAGGAAACTCTCCCATCAGCTGGGTTTATGAGGCAGCTTGGAAGGCTGCAGGAAGAGGTGCCGCAACTCCTCCACACCAGGTTTCACTCCAGGTTCGTGTCTCAGTACTCCCGAGAGGGCAAGCTGCAGGCTCTAGCCTCCGTCCTCACCAGAGGGAGCACCATACCGCTCTCGTCTCGTGCCCACATCAGAAGACTTCCCAGAGAGGGTGCCCCTCCTGCCCACCCCCGGAAGGCGCCATTCTCCCTCTAGGGATCTCCGCACGGTTCTGCGGGCGTCACTCCAACCACGGTTTGGGGCCATCCGCTCAGTACCTCTGAGGGTTTTATTCTTCAAGGTTGCATTCCTGGTGGTCGTCACATCTGCAAGACCTCTTGGGACTCTCTGCCCTCTCAGTAAGGCAAGAACTATGCTCCTTCCACAAGTACGCCGTAATCCTCTGGACAGATCCCTCTTCTGTACGAAAGATAAACTCCGTCTTTCATAAGGACCGAGAAATTTACTTACCATCCTTCTGCCCACCACCTGCGTGCCCCCATGAGGAGGAATGGCACCAGAAGAACACGCAGTCCTTAAGGACCACAGACTCACTGTTTTGTTTCTTTCATCCTGTCTTCCCTGACTAACAATGTATCAGAGACCACTATCATCAGGTAGATTAAGGCATGCGTCTTCTTAGCGTTTGAGGCCCAATGTTTGCCACTTCCCAAAGGAGTCAGAGCCCACACTCCCGTCAGGGTGGCGGCTGCCGCCCCCGTGGCTTTTTCTGCCGCTGCTTCACTTGAGGGAATCTGCCAGGCAGCAACCTGGACATCGGTCTCCACCTTTGCCAGGCACTATAAATTGGACACCTGCCGGCCTGCGGAGGCTGCCTGCAGCAAGAGAGTCCCTCTGCCACGTGGTCCTGCCAGGGGATTCCTCTGACTCGCAGCAAATCACACACCCCCCACCCCCCCAGGAAGATTCAGCTGTTCCAGCATCCCACTTCAGGATACTTTCTGCCACTGATGGAGAAGGAGACATTGGACTTGCTGTTAGGGCTCCTCCTCCTCCTCAGTGGCAGTGGAAGCATCCCTTTCCCCCACAGGGCGGGAAGGATTTCTGGGGGAGGAATGAAAAGGTGTTTCAAAGAACAATGTTCAGCGGAAGAACTGTGGAATTCCTTCCAACTGCAAGCCCGGCAAGTATGAAACAGTGGACTTGCTGTTAGGGCTCCTCCTCCTCCTCAGTGGCAGTGGAAGCATCCCTTTCCCCCACAGGGCGGGAAGGATTTCTGGGGGAGGAATGAAAAGGTGTTTCAAAGAACAATGTTCAGCGGAAGAACTGTGGAATTCTTTTCAACTGCAAGCCCGGCAAGTCTGAACTGGGGCTTGCCCCCAGCTGGATGTAGGAGCAGTGTGAAAATAATTTGCTCAGCCCTGCCTCTGCAGAGCGAGTGGGTGGTGTAACCCACTTCAGGATACCTTCCGTTCCACTGAGGAGAAGAAACCCTCGTGGTAAGTCCAATGTTTTGTTCTCTCCCCCAGCTGTTGGCCAGCCTCTCTGTGCGAAGCCCCAAAGCTCCATTCTGCCCCCTTTCCACCTCTCCTTTCTCCCCATGGACCAAGCCTGATTTCTCGCATTGATCTGCAGGTCCCCCTCTCCCTCCCCTTTCCTTGCTTCTCTCTTAGGCAGCGCACAGACATCCACAGGTGGCCTGGCCTCCGCTTCTACCTGTGCATACGCAGAATTTGGGATCCTGTGCCAGGGGCCAGGAGGTGCGTGGGTGTGGGCCACACACACACACACACAGAGTCCTCTGGGGTCTGGCAACAGGCAGTGCTTTGGGCCCCTCATCAAGCCTGTGCTGTTGACCCAGCCAAAGGAAACTGAGTTTTCTGGGACGTTCACTAAACACTGCAATAGGATTAGGGTTGTAGAACCAGACAGAAATCTGAAGCAATGCAGAGATATTAACATGTCACGTCAAATCATGCAAAATTACATAGTAGGATCCAGCTTACAGGAAGCTGTACACAGCAGTATAGACCACAGTCCCGTATCATTTATCCAAGTAACTTCGTACAGTGCGGCCTTATTGCCTGCATGGAAAAGCCCCCTTGAATAATTCAGTTCTGCCTGTTTTGTGGGAAGCCCGGAGAGCGGGAACCTTCCTGACCTCCTCAGGCCGGCCGTTCCACAGGGTGGGGGGCCCCAACGGAGAAGGCACCTGTATGGGCAGTGGTTGATTTTGCCCATTTGCAGATTGGCATCTGCAGAAAAACTTTAAATTCTTTAAGGTGCTGTTGGACTCTTGCTCTTTCCTATTAATATTAACAATTAGACATGGATTACACATTTATCCATGAGTCATCAAGAGATGAAAATGTACACGTAAGCTAGGTATAAGTGTAGAATGCATCTGAATCAGTGTGTTATTGGTTTTACTGTCTTCAGGAACTTCTGTGTCTCTGGAGACATCAAACAGTCTTCTGGATCTCTTATGCTTTTATGGAGACAGGGAACCTGTTCAGGACACCCATTCTGCAGGCAACGGGGAATCGGAAGAACAGGTAAGAACAGAGAGCTAGGCATTGCTTTGCTTATATTATTGAAAATAATACTTTCAAGAGGGTCAGGCTATTTTAAAAATTAGTATGATCTCCCGTGTCAGAATTACCTCTGAAACACAGAGCTGGCATTACTTGAGAATGTGCTATGGGAAATAGTCCCTTTAAATAGCTGAGAGTCTCCGCTTGCCTGGTTTCTCTGGGTGCTGGTGCTTTCAGTTCTGAACCCATCAGCTTTATTGCGGTCCCCTGGGTTTCTGTCTTTGGGGAGAGAGAGAGAGTGTAAAAGTTTTCTCTCTCTTTCTCTCTCCATACCCCGTATCAGTCTATCCTGTCACCCTACAGTTATCTTTTTTATAAACTGCAAAGTCTTTGGCCTTTTCTCACACTCTAGTAGCTCTCATTTGGTTACTCTTTTGCATCCTTTTTCCAGCTCCACAGTCTTCTTTTAGAGATGAGGCAAACAGAACTATACCCAGTGTTCCAAATACAACCAAGCTTTTGGATCTTTACAAACCCAAGATTTTTCTTCCTGGACAGTCACCTCTAGTTCAGACCTCATCAGTGCACATGTAAAGTTGGGGGGTTTTTGCCTCAAATATTTATCTCTTCTTACTTACTTACATGGAGCTTCGCTTGCTGTGTTTTTACCTGCCCACCCAGTTTGGAGGGATCCTCTGGGAGCTCTTAATCGATCCACTTTGGTTTTCACTACCCTGAAAAAATGGTGTCATCTGTCATTTTAGCTACTTCATCGTTCAGCCTCAGTTCCAGGTAAGTTACAAACAAATAACACCAGACTGGAAGACTGATACTTGAAATCTTCTTTTTGCAGGAGGAAGGTATGGAAGCACGAAAGCAGAGAGGCAGCATGTGGCGTACTTCTGATATCGCTTGCGTTAAGTGGAGGTATAAAAGTGATACCAATAGTTCCTTGAAATGTAGTTATCTCTACTGTATAAGGAAATCCTGAGCACTTCTTAGGTGATATCTATTCGTCAGAGTCTTGTCATCCAACACGACTGAAAACATATCTGCCCTGTCTTCCACATGTGGCATCTCTTTAAGTCTTGGAATGTGGCAGTCATATCATCTCATAAACATAGATATTCTCAGCTTCTCCTCCTAGGACATGGTCTCCTACCTCTCACCAGCTTTGTCCCCTATGGTGGACTCCTTCCTGCTTATCGACATCCTTCCTAAACTCTGGCGCTCAAAACTGAACCCAGTGCTCCAGGCGAGGTCTAACCAAAGCAGTGTGCAGCAGCACTGATACTTTGCATGACTTTGACATTGTGAGTTAAGTGCTGTCAAGTTACTTCTGACATGGTAACATCCTCCTATCCTGTCATTAACAGCCTTGCTCAGGTTTTCTCCTTTTTGCTCAGGAATAGGAATGCCTTGAAAGGGTAGGACATACATTGATCTTTCCATTTGTAGTTGTAACAATTGGCCTTTGTCTGCAGCTCTCTCTTTTCCCACATCCTCCCAATTTTTGTTCGATATTTTTGGTTTTGGTTTCAACTTTCTTGATGGCTCCGTCGGTTTTATCTGCTCTCTTATCCATCTGTGTCAGTTGCTTTTGGACACCATCCAGCTTACTGTTGATATTAGACATCTGCTCCAGCAGGTAGCTCAAGTGGTTAAGACACTGAACTGCAGGCTGTGGAAGGTCAGTAGTCCAGCAGTTCGAGACCCGGGTGCCGCATGACGGAGTGAGCTCCCATCTCTAGTTCCAGCTCCTGCCAACCTAGCAGTTCGAAAGCAAGAAATTGCAAGTAGATAAATAGGTACCACTTCGGTGGGAAGGTCACAGCGTTCCATGTGCCTTGGTGTTTAGTCATGCCGGCCACATGACCACGGAAATGTCTTCGGACAGCGCTGGCTCTTCGGCTTGGAAATGGAGATGAGCACCGCAACCCTAGAGTCGGGCTCTACTGGCTTTCGAGCAAGGGAACCTTTACCTTTGCCAGCAGGGGGCGCAGTGCCGTTGCCAGCATATTAGGAAAGTCAGCAGCTGCTTCCTGTGTCTGGGTGGGAGTTGTTGGTGCAGTGTTTCCTCTGAGAGGTTTCTTTTCTGGCGCCATTCTTCTCCCTCTACCAGACATCGTTTACCCAAGAAGAAAGTTTTTGGATTTAAAGTCAAAGTTCTCCGATTTAAATATGCTTTGAATTAATTTGCACCTTTCGGCCTCGTTTGCAGTCTCACACGGTTAGTTCCACTCGTTCTCTTTTTTTTTAATCGCTCACGGACCGCTCAGTTTCGGGGGGGTATCCCCAATTCTCCCCCACCTGCCGCTTATTTCTTTAGTTAAAGCTGTTGGTTTTGGAGATATAAGTGCTTATAGAGGGGATCGCTTAACTCACTGTTTTCATATTTGAGTCATAGTGGTAGAGTAATTGCACTTGATCGCTTGTCCGCTCGTCCGGTAGCAAACTCTTGTTGCCGCGGTGGCAGGACCTCTCAGGGTAGGGAGAACCTTGATCCCTCAGCCGTCGCCTTGGGAGAGGCTCTCCTCAGCACCCCAGCCTGGGAGACCCCTACAAGGACTCCAGGGGGGCCAGGATCCAACTGGGGCCCCTCCTGTCCGCCGCGTCTCGGTGCACCTCCATCGGGAGCTCAGTGGAACGTGTCCAAGGCTCAAATCGCCAAAACTGGAAGTTCTGGCAGAGCTGTTCTCTCAAGGACAGTTCTGGAAAGAGCTCTCTCAGCCCCACCTGCTTCACAGGGTGTCTGTGGTGAGGAGGGGAAGGGAAAGGAGTTTGTAAGCCGCTCTGAGTCTCCTGAGTGAAGGGTGGGGTAGAAATCCAACCTCCTCCTCTTCCCTTCTTATCACATGACTTTGGTGTGCATGCTTTTGGATCACGTGCAAATGTAAACGGATAGCCATGTCTTCCTAAGTAAGGGTTGACATAGATCAGAGTGCCAGTGCCCAGCCCAAGAACATGTTATGGACAGAGGATTTTGGAATCTTCCCTGATACGTTATGCTTGTGACAAGGGAACAAACCCATTTACTTTGCAAACATTTTTAATATTGTGTATTTCAACGATCTAATACTGTCAAACTCCCTTTCCTACCCTTGGCCACAGTGAGAAGAACAATGCCGAGCGGGTGTTCAGCCTCATGCCAGAGAAAAATGCGCACTCGTATTGTACAATGATCAGAGGAATGGTGAAGGTACGGTCGCCGTCGTCATCCTTGAATACCTGGTTCACTTAGGCTTTTCCTGGCAGATCCGTATAACTGTCCCCAATTTTTTTGGGTCTATTTTCAGCACAGAGCACACTCCAAGGCTTTTGACATGTACACGGACTTGTTGAACAACGGGCTTAAGGGTGAGTCTTATCATTTATTTATTTATTTATTATTTAGTTGTTAAATTAGATTTGTTAGGCCCCCCTTCCCTACAGGTAGGGCTAAGGGCGGCTTACAACAGATTGATAACAGAGTGATTTGGGGGGGCGGAGCCACACATCAGCGTGCACCATGGAGGGGGCTTCTGGATGAGTGCGGGAAATATTGTCCAGTGACACGGGGTTTGCTGCTTCCCCCCCATTTAATTTACCCCCCCCAATAGATTGATATGAAACCCCTTATCCCAGCCCCTGGAAAGGTGCTTTCCACTCCTGTCTCCTCAAGGGCTGTCTCTGTAGTTACTCCAGGCCTGTGGAACAGATGTCCAGAAAAAGTTAGAAGGGAAGGGCCTATTTGTCTTTTGCGCTCCCATAAGAATTGGTACGGTTGAACGTTTTAAGAGAGCCTTTGGAATGTCTCAGTCCGTTTTGGAGTCTGTTGACCTTGGAGGCAAGGGTCTCTTCCGGATGAGTAGGAGCCGCCGGCACTTCAATTCCACCACCGATAGGTTTGCAGCATCGCACCACGACCACTAATATGTGGTTCCATCCGGGTGCGAGGTGACCCTGGAAGGGAGAGGGTGCTGACAAGTTGTGGGACCAGTACCATTTGAGGCAGTTCTACCCCATCTTGCACTGACACTTTGTTGTTGTACTGTATTGTTTTATGGTTTTAGACTGTTTTATCTGTTTTAATTCTGGCACTTGTGCCTCGTCGTTAGCCGCCCTGAGCCTTCGGAGAGGGCGGGATATAAATCCAAAAATAAATAAATAAATGTTATTTATAAGTTTTCTGCTGCTTCCTGTTCTAATTTATGTGGTTTTTATTCCGTTACTTGCCTTGGGTCCAAAAAGGCCAGCTTATTAATGCTCTGAGGGCATGAATAATTTGCCTTGGCCCCGTCTGTGGTGCCTAGGTCAGTGTGAGCCATTGGCAGTCATTAGTACTATGTTGGCTGTGCTCTTGTCAGAAATGTGACCCCTATCCCAGTGAATCATGGCTTGGTGGTTGTTTGCTTATCACTTTGAGGGTTGCTGGTGGCAGTGATGATTGGCGCAGGGGTACAGACCTCAGCTAGATCATGGGAGCTGAGTGTGAGCTGCCTGAGCTCCAGGTCTGCTGGCATGTGGCTGGCTGTCTGGAGAGGGGCTCACATGACAACTCTGCCTTGCACTGAGCCACCTGACACCCATTTGCACATAGGCACTGAACAGCGGCTTGGAGTCTAACTGCCTTTCCAATGTCTTTCAGGTGACGTGTATACCTTTAATGCATTAGTTTTATCAGCTGTGGAAGTAAAGGATAAATATGTTGAAAGATGGGACCTTGTTGAAGTAAGTACGCAAAAGGGGATATGTTTACAAGTATCTGTCTAGAACATTTTCTACTTTCAGGGAGTGCAGGGTGCTGCACAAGGTTCCCCTTTCCCCAATTTATCCTCACAACAACCCTGTGAGGTAGGTTAGGCTGAGAGTATGTAACTGGCCCACGGTCAGGCAACAAGCTTCCATGACATGCATGGGGATTCAACACATAGTCTAGATTATAAGTGTGCATTACGGCTGACTTTGTTTGGTAGTCATGATGTGCAAAAAAAAGTGTTAAAATATAACAAGATTTCAGGTTGTATACTTGTTTTGAACCTTTGTTACATTCATGCTAAAAATCATTCAGGGTAGGTAATATCTATTACAGAACATGAATTGCTAAGGTAGGCAGCTGAATCTGAGTCCAGATCCAGAATCTGCAACCTTTAGAATTGCAGGTTTGCTTTGAGATTAACTTAAATCTACTCTTGTTATTTACATCATAATGCCGTAAGTATATCTGACTTCAGGTGGATGTACAGGGTGTGTGTGTGTGTTTTGCTGTCAGGTTGCAGCTGACTTAGGGTGACCCTATAGAGTTGTCAAGGAGAGGGATGTTCAGAGGTGGTTTTTGCCCTTGCCTGCCTGCCTCCCTTCGGATGTTCAGAGGTGGCCTGCCCTTGCCTGCCTGCTTCCCTTTATGTCACAACTCTGGTGTCCTTTGGAGGTCTCCCGTCCAAATACTGACCAGGGCTGACACTGCTTGTCAGAGCCAGTTTGGTGTAGTGGTTAAGAGTGGTGGGTTCTAATCTGGAGAACCGGGTTTGATTCCCCACTCTTCCTCCACATGAAGCCAGCTGGGTGACCTTGGGTCAGTCACAGTTCTCTCAGAGCTCTCAGCCCCACCTACCTCACAGGGTGTCTGTTGTGGGGAGAGGAAGGGAGGGAGATTGTAAGCCGCTCTTGAGATTCTGCGTGAAGGGCCATGGGGCATGCATCCAACTCTTCTTCTTCTTCCACGATCTGACAAGATCAGGCTAGACTGGTCCATGCAGGTCAGGGCGGATGTATAAAAGGTAAAGGTTCCCTTGCTCGAAAGCTAGTCGAGTCCGACTCTAGGGTTGCGGTGCTCATCTCCGTTTCAAAGCCGAAGAGCCAGCGCTGTCCGAAGACGTTTCCATGGTCATGTGGCCGGCATGACTAAACACCGAGGCCGTGCACGGAACGTGGATGTATAGTGGGGGGAAATGAATCCCAACGATCATGTTATGAAAGCTGAAGTCTTTAAAGATGGAAGTTCAATACCAGGTTAACACATGCAAAAACAGTGTTCCAAACCACATTTGAACGCTATAATTCCATAACCTATAAACTTGCCAAACATTCCACTGAATCAAACTAAGCTGCTACAAGTCAGAACAGGAGATGAGTATCCTGTTGGAAGAAATGTTGAACGAGCTGCATGGAAGGAAGCAGAATGGTGTTATAGCCACAGACCCCTGGGATGTAACACAATTACACACAAGTGACCAAAATGCAGCATTGATGATCCTCCTGTGTAATAGTGAGACAAGCCATTTTATCCCAGAGCTGGAGTGACACTGTCAGCAAACACTGGAACACTGGGCCCAGAAGAAGGGACTATTGACCACCAGCAAATAGTTTGTTCCCCAGAGAGCACTGTGTTCAGGGTATCAAAATCTTCTGGCTCCCCCTGGTCCTAAAGATGCCAGGCTGGCTACGGCCAGGGCCAGGGCTTTATTCTGTGGCGGCTCCGCGCTGGTAGAATGGACTCCTGGAAGATATTAGGGCCCTGCGGGACCTTTTACAGTTCCGCAGGGCCTGTAAGACGGAGCTCTTCCATCATGCATTCAACTGAGGAGCCGCACCTAAGAGTTGAATATAGGTTTAAGATTATGCCCTGGAACCAGCAGCAGCAGCAGCGGAATTTAGCATGGGACCACGATAACAGTCATTATTGCTGACTGTATTCCCACTATGACTGATTCATTACTGTGTTCTTCTATCACATATGCAATATTGCATAGTAGCACTTTATAAATGTTCCGTTTTTATTTGTTTTAATCTTTTTATGTAAGCTGCCCTGAGCCTGCTTCGGCGTGGAGGGCGGGGCACGAGTCAAATAAATAAATAGCACACTTCTTGGATCACGGAGAGAGTTCTTCATTATCTCTTTCGAGATGGTGGGGAGTGGAGACTAACCCTCTTCTGTGGAAGCATTTACCTTTTCTTGGACCCAGTCAGCCAGTCCCCGCCAGTTCAGTGTTACTGACCGTGATGGGCAAGGGTTGGAATGTTGGCCTGGTAGCTATAAATTTGGGGCTACTGCCAACCCTTCGCGTTTGAACGTGATTTGATGTTCTGAAGCTTTAAAGAAAGTATATTTGATTGTGAAACATTGGCTTCAATGGAACATCTTAATGCAATTCATCTGGATAAATATTTAGATCGGAGATAGAGCAATCCCTCTCTGTTGGGAACAGTACTGAGAACTTGTCCTCTACATCTTTATAGTGTTGAACTGGTTCTAATTCTTGCTAATCTTGCTTCTTGGGTCCATTTTTTAACAGGGCTTGCTGAAAGAGATGGCTCAGCAGAATGTACAGCCAAACCTGCTAACCTTTAATTCTGTGCTGAAGGCACTGAGGCAGTGTGGCTCTTTGGGCAGGAGCATGGCCTTGCAGACCTTGAGTGAGATGAGTGCACTCCGTATAGGTAAGCGTTTTTTCCATCTCGAGATCGTCGTTCTGTGCTTCCAAAACATTCAAATGGGAGACATCAACTGATGCCATCGATGTGGCTGCAAAAAAGGGCTGTTGCAATTTCATGTCAAAGCATTGAGCCCCCTGGTTCATAGGATGGCATGGTCATAAGCATGGGGCAGTGCTGCATGGGGTATTCACCTTTGTCGCTTCTGTGCAGTCGCACGTTGGGACTGCAAGTGTGCAGGCCAGCCATGGAAACGATTTCCAAAGCATCCTAGTAGGGCTTGGAGCACCCCTCCTCTCTGGTGATTTCCCTCCAAAACCATGACATGATCAGGAGAAAAGGTGCTGCACCTTTGGTTGTCTTTTTGCCACTGCAAAGACAGGATCGGGGTGGGAAATGGTCAGTAAAATCCGTAAACGTCAGGTTTTTTAATCTCAGTAATTTGTCAATTTTTAAAAAAAATTGGTCAGTAAAGTCAGCATTTCTTTGATTTTTGTGAATGCAGTTTGTGGGGGGAGGGTGTTTTCATTACTGCATTTGGGGGGAAACATGATGACTTCCCAGTGAGAAGACAGATTGTTTTCAGTTCAGTTATGAAGTACTTTAAGGGCTTAGTTCCTAAGAGTAAAAGTGATTTGGTGAAATCTTCCATAAAGTATAGAAACATATCTGCAGAGGTGATATTTGGTTGCATGAGCCATAATCATTTTTTTTTTCTTTCAATTTTTCGGAAAAAAACAAAAAGGCTTCAGGAAAAAAACGGGGGGAAACCGTTTTTTTCCCGAATTTTTCCAGTTTTTTCCCGGGCCTTCACATCTCTACTCCCAACAACACTCTCTTGGCAGTGATTTGTTTATTGAGAGATAATGTTTAGGTTCAATGTTTAGCTCTGGCACAGTGTGTCAAGGAAGGAACCCACAAGGATATAATGGAAGTAGCAGCAGCACTCCCGATGGATAGTCCACTGGACATGATTGCCGGTGAATGGAAACTTCTTAAGACTTGAAGATGAAACTGCCAGTGAAACTTGCTGCATAGATACATACTGGAATCAGTTCTTTGAAAAGACACACCGGGGGATCCAAAATGCCCACTGGTTACCCAGGTGGTGAAAGCAGCATTATCATTATCGCATGGTACTGCGGACATAGAAAGAGGGTTTTCAAAATCTGGTCGCGTTTTGGCCAATGAAAGGGCCAGGATATCAGAGAGAACTTAGAATGGCCACATAATGGTCAAAGAAACTTTATGTCATGTATACAAAAACAAGGTATACCATGTTAATACCACACAGGAGCTTTTACAAATTGCAAGAGCAGCTCATGTTCATTACAAGCAATATTGTGATGAAGTGTGTGTCATTAAAGAGAAGGAGCAAAAAAAAAAAAGGAGAAAAGGCAGAAAGGTTTAAGAGGATAGACAGTGTGAAAAGGATGGTATACAAGAGAAGGAGGCAAAACTGAAAAAGCTGAGACGACAGAATGAGAAGAGGATGATTGGTCGAACATTGCTAAGTCTTACTCTTATCAGTTGCTCCCCCTCTTCAAGGTTACACTGACTGCTTCAGCGAGCAGTAAACAGATTCCATCTCGGCCTCTCATGACGTATAAGGATTCCAGTTCCCAATTTCCAGCCAGGAGAATAGTGATTTATTCTGCACTGCTTTCCCACATGAAAGGGCCAGGATATCAGAGAGAACTTAGCCACATAATGGTCAAAGAAACTTTATATCATGTATACATAAACAAGGTATACCAATTGCAAGAGCAGCTCATGTTCATTACAAGCAATATTGTGATGAAGTGTGTGTCATTAAAGAGAAGGAGCAAAAAAAAAGAAAAAGAAAGGAGAAAAGGCAGAAAGGTTTAAGAGTATAGACAGTGAAAAGGATAGTATACAAGAGAGGGAGGCAAAACTGACCCTCTGACTAGTTTCCACCCCTGAGTGCTGTTCTCGGTTTTTTCTTCACCTCATTCTGGAGGATGAGGAGGCTTGTTTCTCTTTAAAAGTTTTTTTGGTCACCAATAGTCATTCTAGTGCATTCAAAAAAGAAAAATTTCTGACCTTCCACTTTGTTGTTACAGTTCAAAATGGGCTTTCTGGATTGTGATAACTGTGGCTGATAAAACGCCCAATCTCTGTGCCTTATCTGCCTGAGGGATCACACGACAGAGCTATCTGCTGTTTCTGTCACCAAGTTACCCTGAAGGCATGATTGGGTGGAGCTGGATGAAAAGGGGCTCTTTTTCAAATGCTTTTGCTGCGTGCCAGCCTTCATAAAGGCATCCCCCCCCTCCTCCAGTGAGGTGTGGTGTGACAGAGCCTCGGATTTACTGGCTCGTTTCAATTAATTAAAAGTTTAATTATGGGTATAGCTTCTACCCAGAATTAAACTTTGTAAGTCTTAAAGGTGCCAGTAGACTCGAACTTTGATCTGTTGCTTCAGACCAACTTGGCTACCCATCTCAATCTATCTTCATGGGAATCTGGGTTCAGTCTTAGTTTTTCTACTGTGGGCAAATTAAGAAACGGCTCAAACAGCCAATTAATTTGCCCAAACACTTCAAAATTAAATACTACTCCATTAACAAATAAGATACTATCTTTTCTGTCCGCACAATTCAGCATCTTTATTCATATATCTTTATTCATTTCAGAACCTAGCTTGGCAACATATGACCATCTCCTTGGCGTATTTTATAAATCTGGTATGTAATCTCTGAAACAATACATGCTTAACTTGTTTCTGTGCTCTCTTGAGCCTAGTGCTACTCCTGTTGGAATGGCCTTAGATTAGAAATGGCTTCTGCTGCTTTTGTCTTGGATCTCCCCATTCACTTTTCCAGGAGTAGTACCCTTGTTTAGAAGTCTTGATGTAGTTAAGTTTAGCTGAAGAGGCATTTGAGCCAACTTGCGGTGTTACAACCTAACACCTAGAGCTAGATTTTAGGTTTAAAACCTTTCTCCCCTCAGATGCAGCCTAGACTGCATGTGCCCGGGGGGGGGAGTCACGCCTTCTACTCCGTTCTGTCATCTGCTGCAACCATAGCATCAACTGGGAACCTTTTCTTTGAGGTATCTGTTTCCCTCAGAGCTAGTTTTCTTTGTTGTTCTGTTTCAAATATGTTTCAAAAACTCCCAGGTTTTCATACTACTTAGTGTGTATACAGTTAGTCATACCAGTTAGCATTGCTTACATAGTGTGTATAGTTTTCTCCTCCGACACTGTGCTGAAGTGCCTGTGGCTCAAAAGACCGTCCTCAAGCCCTTTGAGCAGGGTGGAGGAAAACAACAAGCATTGCCTTCTCTGCTTGGGGGAGCGCTTGCATCCCCTGTCGAAAGATGGCTAGCCAGGCACAGCCTCTTGTGGGGTGGTGGAAAGCGCAGCCAAGCCACAGCTGACGTATGGTCACCCCGTCGGGGTTTCAAGGGAACAGACAAACAGAGGTGGTTTTGCCATGGCCTGTCTCTGCATAGCAACCCTTGATTTAATTGGTGGTCTCCCACCCACGTACTGACCCGGGTCCACCCTGCTCAGCTTCTGGAATCTGACAAATTTGGGGTAGCCTCTGGGCCATCAGGGGCAGGGCCATGCTTGGGGGAAAGGCCCCGATGGCATCAGAGAACCGGGCAGAACCTGCCGCAACTGTTGCAGACGGCTCGGATAGATCAGCCGCTTTTCAGTGATCTGGTAATGGGTACGAGGCTTCCACACCTGCCCCTCAGGCCTCTGCTCCACAAGTGGGAACAGTGACCATAATGTGATTGAGTTCCAACATTTGTATAAATAGGGTTGCCCAAAAAGGCCGACACACCCACTTTTAACTTTAAAAGGGATAACTTCTCTGATATGAGGGGACATGTGGGGAGGAAACTGAAAGGAAAAGTAGAAAGGGTCAAAACCATTGGGGAAGCTTGGAGACTATTTAAAACTACGATCCTAGAAGATCAAAAAAAAAAAAATATATTCCGCAGGTTAGGAAAGGCACAAATAGGTATAGGAAAAAGCCTACATGGTTAACAAACAAAGTAATGGAAGCTGTAAAAGGTAAGAAGGATTCCTTTAAGTGGTGGAAAGCTAGTCTCAGTGAGGCTGATAAAAGGGAACACAGGCTGTGGCAAATAAAATGCAAGTCTGTGGTCAGGCAGGCAAAAAGGGAATATGAGGAGCATATAGCAAAAAACATAAAGACCAACAGTAAAACTGCCTTCAAATATATTAGAAGCAGGAAACCAGCCAGGGAGGCAGTGGGGCCCTTGGACGACCAAGGGGTAAAAGGAGTACTGAAGGATGATAGTGCATAGCAGTCAGAAAACTCTAGGACATATATTTCAATTTCCGTGTTACCTTTAATGTTATGTAAACATTAGACCTATTTTTCCTTAAGTGACTTGCTCCATTCATGAGTAGAGACAGGACTTGTGAAAGTTTCTGACTTCCACTGGAAGCTTTAAGAACATAAGAACATAAGAGACGCCAATGTTGGATCAGGCCAAAGTGCTTTGTTGGTTAAGGTGCTTAATTCTGGAAGTACTATGGCTGGGAAAATATATCCCAACCAACACAGAAACTTCAAAACCATCTTCAAGTACTCGAAGGGCTGTCATGTAGAGGATGGTGTGGCGTTGTTTACTTTCATGGATTAAACATTGGTTAGATGACAGGAAGCAGAGTTTGAATAAAAGATAAGCTCTTGCAGGGGTGGGGTGAGCCTTGAGGCCCCACAATGATTGATTTTGGTACTGGTTCATAGACAGTTTGGCATTGGAGTGAGCAGTATAGTGTCCAGGTGGATACCAAAATATACAGGATGATGCAAACCAAGGCAGGTTGCGAAGAGCTCTAAGGATCTAAACTGGATGAATGGGTAGCAATGTGGCAAGTGAAATTCAATGTTGTGGTCAGTAGAAGATGATGCCCATGGGAACAAATATTCCTAACTGTTTAGGATACGCTGATGGGG